CGTTGGTGAGGCGATGTGAATCTAAGGTTACTGGAGGCGATGTGAGTATCGTTTCGTGGATTGTGTTTTTGTTTTGGAAATTTTGTGGATTGAATAGTTGGAATAGGAATGGGTTTTGCAAAATCGATTACACGCGGGAGAGGCGGAGAGGGTTATTTCGTCCTTTTACAATTAATGGACCTAATGGAATATTCAGAAATAGTGTGGGTTTTATGGAACAAAATAGTTATAAATGGGATTTATCAAAAAAGAGCCCTTTTTAAAAATTATGTCAATTTTTGTTGTTGTTTTCGCGTTCAGTAGATGAATTTTAAAAAATAAAAAGAAAAAAAATACTATTTAAATTTTCCTCGTAAATTTTTATTTTTTTAAAAAATAAAAATTCAATTCTTTTGATCAAGTAGAATCTATAAGGTTAAAATTTTTTGTCTACTAAAACAAAAACAAGGCATCAACAAAACAAACCCCAATTTCACTAATCATGCAATTGAAAAAGAAAAAGAGAAAAATTAAAAGAAATGCATATTATGTGGGTGTTTGGGAAGTGGATATTTTAGAGGCTTTTTGACTATTTTTAGTAGGCTATTTTAGTTTTTGTATTTGGAAAGATAGGATGGATTTTTATTTGAGTTGTCGTATTGAAAAATGTGTTTGAAATAATATTGAGGTTGAAATGACAAATTTGTCCTTAACCTCACTTTTTCCAAAATTGGTCTTAGGAGCAAAATTATTTCAGCATGTGGGACTTAGGGGTGCAACTCGGACGGATTCGGTCTGGTTGGGAGATTGTCTAAGCCCAACTCAAGTTGTGTTGAGACCTGCCCAACTCCGCCCAGGCCCGTATTGTAACCTGAGGTTTCCTGCCCAAGACCGACTCGAGTTAAACCTGAATTGCCTGAGTTGCCCGAATTGTAAATAAATTTCATTTTTTTTTTGCAGCTACATTATTAAATTATTGAAATTTGACTATATTTACATCTTTTTTTGTATAGAAAATCATTAATACCATAAAAAACAAATAATTTATATAATGTAAGAGAGATACCGTTATAGCAGTCTTTATAATTTATGACTGAAAATAAAAAAAAAGGTAAGATTTTATGTTATTTGTATATATAATATATATTCAATTTGATTTAATAATCTAAATTACTTTAATATCATGTTTTTAACAATCCGAAAATTTAAGTTGTCCATTAAATTTTATACTAGTATTATGGTTGTATGTAATAATATATTATTAAATAAATAGTAATAAATACAGAAACTAATTTGGCATTAGATTATCAAATATGAGATTAATTATGAATTATTATTTGGGGCCAAATTAACAGAAATATGTAATTATAATACTAGTTGGGCCAAATTAAAGTTAAAGATAGTAAATAAATAAATATAAAAGTAAGAGTAAATAAATAATAATGTTGATAACAATAATAATAATAATAATAAGGGTGTGGTAGTAAAATAAATAATTAATTTATTGTTGGTATACGATAGAGTGCAATTTAATTAGGGATTAATTTATTTATATAATTATATTAGAAAACTAGGTTAAAGTGTAATTATTTTAAATATTTATTAAAATAAGTATAAATCTTATGAGTTACGAGTAAATCTTTGAGCTGCCACGTGTTGGCCGGATGATACTTTACCTCCCTATAAATAAGGAGGAGTTGATCACCCTGTGGGAAAGAAAAGGAAAAAAGAGAGAGAGAGAAAGGAAAAAGGAAATAAGAAAGGAGGAGGAAATAACGGAAGTCAAAAGAGTCTTTGGTAGTGGAAAGAAAAAGTAAGGTACTACTTTTAAGGTGGGTTATATTATATCTTAAGTTACCATAATATATTTTACGTATGTTTTGACTTACCATATTTTATACAAGTTATATTTTATAAATTATTATTAATTATATTAATATTTCAATCACGTGGATTATTTTCTGAATCCTATTTGTTAAAATGAAACCCATGGATATGTTTGTTTATATTTTAGAGAATATTTGACTATAACCTTATAAACAATTATGTTTTGTAAATACTGCCATGGGAGTGCCACGTCTTGGGGGACTTAAATAACCATTGGCTTCTGTTTGGTCACTTTGTGACCCTCTGTCTGTCATGGATCTATTGACCCTCTGATTTCTGGTGTGGAGCAAAATGTTGTGCGGAAATAAGTGCTACACTATTGTGGGAGCCACCACTATAATCCGTACGAGCCACCTCTTGAATCCGTACCTCTGTTCTGACTGTCACTCCTGTGACATCTGTTCTGTTCTGTTCGGTACCGTGGTTATGGTTATTTATTTACATAATCTCAGTTTTGCTACTTAAACGATTATTTGTTCAGACTAAGTTATCCTAAATATTTTAGTTACATAACTAATCATGGTTATTTTGTGTCCCTTATACTCTTGGCATAATATTTCTCACTCTGCCATGTGCTTATAGTTGTTTAGCAATTTTTAGGAAACAATGCAATTCAGAAATAGCTTTTAGAAAGTCTTAGACACGGGGCTAGGAATGGCAACGGGACGGGGCGAGGCCGGGGATCGCCCTCCCCGTCCCCGATCCCCGAAGCTACAAAACTCCCCGTCCCCGATCCCCGACGGGGACGACATCACCCCCTACCCCCACCCCCAACGGGGATCGGGTTTCCCCGACCCCAGAAAATCCCCATAACTCCCTCTCTCTCTGTTTAGCTTTCTCTTCCAATAATAAATCATCAATAACATCCTCAACGGAGACAGACAGATTACAAAAAAAAAAAATGTATATACAGATTAATAATATACAGACCCGTAGCTCCGACGGCAACATCATCAACCACAAAAAAAAAATTAATAATAATATGGAGGCAGACAGATTACACACATTGACAAATACACATACATGTATATACGTAAATAGCGGGATCTGATTTTCTCAGATCTGAGATGTGAGATGTAAGATCTGTGGTGGTGTGGACGAGATGCGATCTACTCAGATCTGCCCAGATCTGTCGTGGTGGGAACCGAAGCCGGAGTAGGAAGGTTTGGCGATGGCGCGGAGAAGGAGGAGGATGAGGAGGAGGAGGCGGCGACGGAGGAGGGTGTGCCGCGGAGGAGGAGATGACGTCTTCACCATTGGGGAGAGGAGATCGCACTCGCCATAGCCACTGGAGAGAGAGATCGCACCATAGCCACTAGAAAGAGGAGATCGACTCGCCATCGCCACTGGAAAGAAGAGAGAGTGAGAGAAGATAAGAGAGAGAGAGAGTGTGTAGTCTACACTGTGTAGACCATCTTAAACATATATATATATATATATAAAATATATAAGTCAATATTTAAAGAGAGATCAAACCAAACTAAACATATATATATATAATATAAGTCGGGGGCTAACCGGGGCAGGGCCGGGCCGGGCCGGGGCCGGGGATGAAATATGTATCACCGTCCCCGGCCCGAATGTCACCGGGGATTTAATTTTGAATACCATCCCCGTCCCCACGGGGGTATTTTTCGGGGAAAAACCATTCTTATCGGGGGCTGCGGAATAGACACACACATCACTTTTATGATATTTTTATATGTAAATATCAGCCTTTTTGGTCAACAAATTTTGTAATAAAAATAGAAATTCCAATGATTATTTTGGTACCCTCGCTTAAATATTATTTCCGCTCGCATTTATTAATTTGTTCAAGAATTAGCTGGAGGTAACTTCAGTTACTGGCCATCATGATGGTTAACCCTTTGGTACGGGGAGCGGGTCGCGACAATGTAATGACTAATAATTTATATGTATATTTAATATTTTTATATATCTATATATGTATAATTCGAGTTTCAGATTGCTTGGGTTGTTTGACATTTTTGCCAAAGCCCCTACCAAATTTGAAAATATCTTGTCCAACCTCTAAAAAAATTCGGATTGGACTTGGGTTACTCAGGTTGAGCCGGCCCAAGTTGCACCCTTACTGGGACTAGGCTGGCACTATATTGTGCCTACACTCAACATGACAGTGTAAGCTGCCCACTATCGGCTGCTTTGTTTTTGTTGTTGTTGTTGTTTTTTTAAAAATATATATATACATATACAAATCATTATTTTAGAGTGCTATTTGAAGCTATTTGGTTTTTTCAGTATTTAAGGTTTTTTAGCCTCAAACTTGGGTTTCCAAACACCCCCTATAAAGCATAAGTTTATTTTTAATTTTTGTTATTTAGGGTATGTTTGGCATGTATTTTTTTTTTGATTATTTTAGTCACAAAAAAAAAAAGTTAAAATTTGAATAAGACAAAATATCACATCAAAATCATAATAATTTCATTTTAATCTCTCATAAAAGTCAAAAAAAAATTAAAAAAAAAACTTATATGAAATAAAACTTTTTAACCTCAAACTAAAAAAATAAAAAATCAATCCACCATATTCCAAATTCCAAACGAAGGCTTAAACAGAACTATAACAGGGTGACATCTATATAAGGGGTGTTTGTTTAGGTTTTTTTGAGCCAACTTAGAGCATCTCCATCAAGGATAGTCAAAATGGCTATCAAAATTTCACTTTATTATTTTAGCTAGTCATTTTTTTAATATACACTCTAACAAGGCTATCTACTTTAACTATCTTTTATTACAATATTCTTATACTCTAACTACCTACTTTCCCATCTAAAAAAAAAACTAACTTCTTTCAAATTATTATTTTTTTCATTCTTTTAAATATAATTATATTTTTGTGAAAGTTACATTTTTCTTCTGTCGTATTTTTCAAACGGTCATATTTTTGTAATGGTCATATTTTTACAATGGCCGTATTTTTCTAACGGTCATATTTTTGCAACGGTCATATTTTTACAACGGTCGTATTTTTTTAACGGTCATATTTTTGCAGCGGTCATATTTTTACAATGGTCATATTTTTTAACTTTTCAATTATAAATAAGACATTCCCTCTCATGTGACCTTACCCTCAACTCAATTTTCTACTTCATCCAAACTTCCATATCTCTCTCTATGACTTCCAATTCTCTTTATGATATGCTTGTAAATGACTCTGACTTCTCTGAATCTGATGATGATTTGGAGATGCTCAAAGCTGTTACTATGGATGAAGAACTACTAGATAGTGAGATAGGATCAAGCTCACGTCGTGGTTTTGTTCGAGGTCGTAAAGTCATTCATCGTGACCATATTCAAGGTCATGAAAGGATTTTTCTCAACTATTTTGCTGAATCACCTGTATATCCTCCTGAGCTATTTCGAAGGAGGTTTCGGATGAAGCGTTCACTTTTTCTTCGAATTCAAGCTGCGGTAAAAGCGCACGATTCATACTTTCTCCAAAAAGAAATTGTGCTAGAAAGCTTGGTTTGTCTTCTCTTTAGAAGATAAATGTTGCAGTTAGGATGCTTGCTTATGGAGTAGCCGTTGATTTTATGGACGAATATGTGAGAATTGGAGAAAGCATTGTAATAGAAAGCTTAAAATATTGTGTTAAAGCAGTTGTTGATATTTTTTCCAATAAGTATTTGAGGTCACCAAACAGTAATGACATCGCAAAACTACTAGTAGTTGGTGAAAGTCGTCGATTTCCTGGGATGCTAGGGAGCATTGATTGTATGCATTGGAAATGAAAAAATTGTCCGACTGCGTTGAAAGGTATGTATACTGGACACATTCATGAACCAACAATTATTTTGGAAGTTGTTGCATCATATGATCTTTGGATTTGGCATGCGTTTTTTGGATTATCTAGGTCTCATAATGATATCAACGTGCTAGAAAGGTCTTTTGTATTTACCGAACTTGCTCAAGGGCGTGCTCCTGCAGTCAATTAAACCATAAATGGTAATGAATATACAATGGGATACTATTTTGTCGATGGTATATATCCACAATGGTCAGCATTTGTGAAAACAATTCCTTCTCCTTAGGGAAATAAGAAAAAACTTTTTGCTGCAGCTCAAGAGGCGACAAGAAAGGATGTAGAGCGTGCATTTGGAGTGCTTCAAGCACAATTTGCAATTGTGCGTTGACCAGCATGTTTTTTGAATACTAAAATGCTTAAATATATTATGAAGGCGTGCATAATTCTACATAATATGATCATTGAGGATGAGCGAGATGATAATGGAGTAAAAGACTTCAATTATGATCAAATCGATGACAGTTCCCATGTAACGGTGTTACAGGAGAGAACTACTGAACTTATGGAATTCATTCAATGTCATCATAACATTAGAGACAGGCAAACACATTCTCATCTCCAATCGGACCTTGTCGAACACTTGTGGCAATTACACAGCGAGTCGTAAAAGCTTTGAATTTGAAGTTTCATTTTATGTAGCATGTTATTAGTTTTGAGTGTAATCGGTATATGCTTTTGATTTATGTGTAATTTTATAATTCTATATGCCTTTTAATTATATGGTTTTCATTTTAATTATATGCCTTTATATATATATATATATATAAATAATTAGCAATGCATAATCTATACAGCACATATGATGTTTGGAAATATGGTGTTAATGTTTCAATCTTGGCAGCAACACAACACAAAGAGCAACAGAACAACACAACACAAATAGCATAAGATTAGACAACTAACATTGTGTACCAAAACATTGCTGAGTTCAACATCTATCCTAAACAAAAGCAGAACCAAAAGAAATACTAGATAAAAGCATAACCAAAATACTAGCAGAACCAAAATACCATATATCAAGTTTCTAGCCTACTAGACAAAAGCCAAAATATCATAAGGAGCAAAGAGAGAATGAATACTAATTCATGTATTCATTCTTCTTTTCTTAATGATTTCCATTTGCCGAGCACGATAAAATTCTTGTTGGATTTCTGGCAAGCCACTGAGATCCATCAAAAAACTCATTCGTCCTCTTTGAAAAGTTCCATTTCATGCTTTTCAAGTTTCACCTCATGCTTTTCTTGCATAATACGAAGTTCCACTTGTTTTTGAAAGTATACTTTGTCAATTATTTCAACTTTCTTCTCCATCATTTTCTTTTTGTCTTCCGTAATGTCCTCCAAAGTCTTTGTAATACTCTAATGTACACTTTCTTTGTTCTTTCGTTTATTCAATCGCTCCTTTTCAGCCTTCCTACCGGTTAGTCTCTCTAAGTCTACAAAAGCATTAGGTGAGACATCGTCTTCCTCTATATTTATCGAATCCGGATTACAAGGAGAAGAGGTTGTCCCTGTTCTTGGTCTTTTTGTTTGTTTTTTCTTTTCAGACTCTACCACCCATTTTGGTTGATCCCTTAACGTAATCCAACAGTATTCGAATTGGAATGTAGATTTCTTGAGTTCCTTGTACATAATTTTCGCCTTGCAAATCTAAAAATTAAATAAATAAATGATATTTAGCAACTTCACAAATAATAATAATTGTAAATGTACAATATTCAATACCTTGTCATCCTCATTTATGCCACTTTGATGCAATGATTCAATTTGGGTGTAGCACCCACAAAACTTATTCATGCAAACTGAATGGTTGACCATCGATTCATAAGAGAATTCTCATTTCGATTAGACTCAAATTTCTTGTGCTCATGGAAAAAAATCCTACACTCTTTTCCAATAGGTTAAACGTTTTTGCTCATTCCCATGTACCGCATCTAAACTAATATTAAACTAAGCCGATACAAGGAGTTTGTCTTCTTCTATTGTGAAGTTTCATCCACGTTGAGGTTTCTTCAACAAAGATTCAATTTCAATAGTAAATTGAGACTCCTGGGCAAAGACTTGAGAGTATTTTCATTCAAATATTGAGATTCCATCAGATAATGTTCATCAATGTTGGGCCTTTCTTGTAAAAGATTGGTAAAGTAACCATCTTGTTGTGAATCTATACCTATGATTGAATAATATATAAGAATTAAAATTTAAAAAACAGAGCTTATAGCAAGCTGCAACAATTTGAATAGTACTGGAAGGAAGACAGCTTCCATATTTTTTCAAGCTAAGAATAACTCTCAGAAAGAGGAAGAAAACACTGCTGAAAATATAAACTTAAGGCCGAAACATTAAACATGGCAAAAACAAATAAAATTATGATTTTTACTTAACAAAAAAAATACAAAAATATTAAACATTAATATTTTTTAAAAATACCCAAACATTAAACATGGCAAAAATAAATAAAATTATGATTTTTACTTAACAAAAAAAATACAAAAACATTAAATATTAATGTTTTAAAAAAAATACCCAACAAGTAAAAAAAAAAAAAATTGCGTTGACCGATTGATCGGCTGGACTTCCAGGCAGCCGTCCATAATGTCCTCATCTATGAAGAAGCAACCCAACAAGCAACAAGCAGTTGCTTAAGAACAATTTCCTTTTTAATCTCAAGCCTTCAAGTTTTTAAGGTGGATCCCTTGCCAGCACCCTTGTAGGTTATACACTGATGGCTTCTTCCCTTTTTTAATTTTGTTGTGCAGTGGGCCACTTAATTTTGCCTATTTTTTCTATACCCGAGAGAGAGAGAGAGACAGATAAAGCGTTTCAAATTTTCTGCCATTGCATTTTTACTTCCATCCATTCACGTGCATTGTTATGTTCTACTAACTGCTCTTATTTGCTCAATTTCCTTTTTGAAATTGCATTCAAACTTTCTGGAGCTTACTAGCCCAATTTTATATCATGTCCTTATGTTCAATGTTCAAGCTAATATGTAGTTTCATCAAATAAGTCGGTTAACTCTTGATACATACAATTTCTTAAGAAACTGTTTCTTACTTTAGGTACAATTAGGTACAATTTATAATATATATTCTACTAGAAATTAGGTACAATTTATAAGATCTATTATAACAAAAATTACAACGAACACATGGAGTGCAATACAAATACATTCACATGGATTTCTTTTTATAATCACAAATGATAAAGCAAATGTGTAATATTTTTGCCAACATCAACAAATAATGAAATAAGAATGCAACAATCTGAACATTTGCTTTCATATTCTCCAATTTTTTATCCATTATTCATGGCATAAACAAATAGAAATGACAAAATTTATTATCTCCCTTGAGCAGAAAGTTTGAGAAGAAGATACAGAGGATGAGAGAGTTTGTGAGATTTAAAATGCCTTCTCTATGGATTTGTTAGGGAGGTACTGATATAACTTTTAGCACCAAAATAGGAAAAAAATTTTACCGCCAAAAACAAAATTCAGGAGGCAAAAAATAAATAAAAAATTGAACGGCCTATGAACAGTACCCCCGCTTGCCTTGGCGAGGTACTGTAGCTCACAACCACCTTGGCGATGCTTAAGCGAGTCTGCTTGAGCAGTCTTTCAAACTTCCAAGCTCGCTTCTATGACTGAAAAGAGAGAGTAGCTATACTGCTGGAGATGCTCTTATGAAAAAGTTATTTTGGACTGTTTGGTTAAATTTATTTCAAACAGTTTTTTATTATAACAACTTATTTTAACTCAAAAAAGTTGATTCTAAGAAGCTGCTCACCCCTTACTTCTGATTTTCAGTTTATGCTATGAATATATTAATTTACAATTATACTCTTAGATATTTATTTATTTTTTAAATAGAAAAAAGATCCAAATGGACTATAGATTATTATTTTTTATGAGAAATATAGACAAATAGTAAATAACAAAAAATAAAAATTAATTGAAAAAATTACTTTATAACTTATTTAACAAATACTACTCAATAATTTAAATTTATAATTTAACAATTATATCAAATAAATTAATAATTTTTAATTAAAATCATAATTTATTACAGTGGTACCAAACGGGCCATAAACGGGCGTGACTTTGTGGCCATCAGCACAACGCTCGCGAAGCGCAGGAGAAAGAACTAATTACCGAATCGAAGAGGATGGAAAGAGTTGTTCAAAAAAAGAGGATGGAAAGAGAGAACTCACGAAAGGGGGAAAACGATTGCTAGATCTTTCTGAACCACCACCACCGGTAACATCTCCGGCAGTTTAAAACCTAAATTATCGAACCCTAATTCACTAATTTTAGCCTGACATCGCACCGATTCGATCCTTCAACTGTAATCGGCCGATGTCGACGTCGGGGCAACCTCAGTTCCGCTACACCCAGACGCCATCGAAAGTCCTCCATCTGCGCAACCTTCCTTGGGAGTGCATCGAAGAGGAACTCATCGAGCTCTGCAAGCCCTTCGGCAAGATCGTCAATACCAAGTGCAATGTTGGCGCCAATCGTAATCAGGCCTTTGTTGAATTCGTGAGTATTTCTATATATTTTTTTAATTATTTTTTTAAATGTATAATTAGGGTTTGGTACAATAGAGGGGTGGATTATTCTATGATTTCAAGCGATGTTAGATTTGTGTTGGGATGCATAGGGAAATTCATGTGCTTATCGATAGGTAATTGCAAACGGACCTTTGTTGAATTCGTGAGTATTTCTATCGTTTTAATGTGTAATTTTGAATTGAATTTGATGAATTAGGGTTTGGTACCATCTTAGGCATATTATTCTACGATCTCAAGTGATGTTAGATTTGGTGTTGTTGTCCAGTGCTCTTACAACCATAAACATGATATAGCGTTGAACTTGAATACAAGTTTATGAGAAAAAAAGAAGAAGGAGAAATTAGCAAAAAAAGGAGAAAATAGGTCTTTAGGAAATACTTTCTGTTATTGGCCTGTACGCACTTTTCTACAGTAGGATCACAATCGAAATTGAGAGATATTGATACAACCATATATTATTAGATGTTTGGTGATATTGCAGTTGAATAAGCTACCAAGAAGGTTCGTGCTACTAGATGCGAGGCAATGCCATACTTCTGTAAAGAGATGCAGAGTTAAGAGTTGGTTATATTAAAATATTAAATAGCTTGGGAATCTTAAAATATTAAATATTTTTGGAATCTGCAACCAGTTGAAAAAGTCAAGAGTTGATTTATGTGTAGAACTAGAAGCCTCATTGCTCTCCTATTTAGAGGATTCCAACCACAATGGGTGGTTAGGAACAATAGTACACATATATATAACACAGCAGATGTATAACAGTGTATATAGGAACTTCTTGGCAGGTCTCCCGCCCTCCATCCTTGCATATAACATATATAGAAAAGTTCTCAGATTTTCAGGGGCACATGCCGCCCTCCCTTCATCCTTGCCTACCAGTATTAGTATCGGATCTTGGCCATACCATTTTGTGTTGGAATTAATTATGGTAATGGCTGATTTTTTAAACTATGTATTGGACTTTGGATGTGGACTGTATAAGCTGGTTAGTACAGGACTGAACTTTTCGCTGGGTGTTTTTCAGTGTTTAATATTCTTTGTTTGCTTTAAACACTGTGGATTCATTTTTTCTTGCTTTGTCCTTGTTTATTCGGAGGAAGCTTTATGTTGACAGCCGAAATATTTGATTTTTAATTGCAGGCAGACCTAAATCAGGCCATTAACATGGTTACATATTATGCTTCATCTTCAGAACCAGCACAGGTTCGTGGGAAAACTGTTTACATTCAATATTCTAATAGACATGAAATTGTCAACAACAAAGGTCCAGGAGATGTTCCAGGAAATGTCTTGCTGGTTACTATTGAGGGAGTAGAAGCTGGTGATGTCAGCATTGATGTTATTCACTTGGTAAGAGCCTTTCACCCATAACTTATTAGCTTGCTAGATTGATTCTTATCAGATATTGCAGACCCTTGTTTTGTTTAGCTGATCTAAGTTGTATAGACTGGCTGGTTTGAGTTTGGACTTGGAGTATATGTTTACATGGGAAATACTTACTTTTTTCCTCATTATATGTTTTCTAAACTTCTATTGTGAAGAAGGTACAGTCATAATCCAGTAGCTTCTCACCTGAAAATCCACCCTGCTTTATTGCATTGGGAAACTTATCCCGTTATTTTGCTAATCTCATCCTTACTGCCCATTCTCTCTTATACATTCGGGGGACAAATATTTATTTTATTTTTCAAATTGTCATATCATTCAAACCTGGTTGCACTGCTCATTGATTACTTTCACACCATCTCTTTCCTTTTTTAAGTGTTCAATTCCCAAATTCAGGTAGTGTTTTTGGCCCTTAGCACAAGTTACGATGTTATGGGTTCACTCATTCTTAGAAGTAGAATCCCAATTAAATTATGTGTCAATTTTGTTTGAAATTGGTTAAATCACAGATGATGATGGTTCTTATTTAGATTCTTTTGTTGGAAACAGTCTGGATATATTATCATGTGCGTCATACTCCTTTCTAAGGTCTATCTTCACGCTTACATATACAGGTGTCACTCTGCACTTATCTGTTGATATTTTGTTTCTTGTCCCATTGCATTGATAACTGGGATGGTTTTTAATGGCTAACCATTTTGTACTTTCTACCCTTTTCTTTTGCGGCATGCTCAGATCTGTTTGAAATTTTTCTCAGGTGTTCTCAGCTTTTGGATTTGTGCACAAGATTGCTACTTTCGAGAAGGCTGCAGGTTTTCAGGTGTGAAGTCGAAAAGTGCATTTTTATTCTTTTGATTGGCAGACTGCATTTTTCTGTTTTTGCCGTTCTGAACTTGCTGCCTTGCTTTGTATATTGGCAGGCATTAATCCAATTTAGTGATGCTGTGACTGCATCTTCAGCAAGGGAAGCATTAGATGGAAGAAGCATACCCAGGCATGCTCTCCCTCTCTGTTCTCTTATTCTTGCCCATTTGTGCCTACTCTCTCCCTTTTTATGAAATTGCTAAGTTCGGGATTGGGAGTTCTCACTTTGGTAGATATGTGGTTGGCATGTAACAAATTTCAGGTACTTGCTTCCAGAACATGTTGGTTCATGCCACTTGCGCATCTCATATTCTGCGCATACAGACCTGAATATTAAATTCCAATCTCATCGGAGCAGGTAATGAGGAAACTGTTGAGCCATTAGTATCATGTTTCTTAGTTCTTATCTGTGTACACACTTGCTCTTTCATCATTAATTTTGCTTCTGTGATTTTGATTTTGATTTTAGCAATTGAGGTCTTGCTAATTTATGCGTGTGGTTTTTGTCATATAGGGGTTAGTGAAGCTCGGCAGCTATAACACCGATGTGTTTTTCATGGCCTCTTAGTAATTTTCTTCATCTTTTTGTAGTGGGGTTAATGTGTTCCTGTAATTTCACTTTAGTTGAAAATTTAGAGTGCTTTAGTTTGTATGTAATAAATCAATTGAATGAATATTTGCTTATTTTCAAAAGGACACCTTCAATTTTAGTTGTACTTCTTGTTCTTTTGGTCTTGTTATTAGTGCTTTTGTTGTTTCTCTTGTCTCTTATTAAACAAACATCTTGTTTCCATGATTAATAGGATGCCACATTGTTATTGGTTTTTGAATCAGGTTTCATAAGCAAATTTTATGGTTTGCTTGAGGCCTCGTTTGGCAACCGAACTTTTTATCCAAAAAGCCAAAAAGCCAAAAAGCTAAAAATTTACTAAATTAGCCAAAAAGCCAACAACCCATACTAAAAAGTCAAATATTCTCTTTTCTCTCTACTTTTTGCACATCTTTTTGTAAAAAGCCAAAAAGTCATCCCAAACATACTAGTTTTTTTTAGCTCATATTTTAGCCAAATAGCCAAAAAGTTATTAAATTAACCTGTTCCCAAACGAGGCCTGAGTGCAAAAAACTATTTGAGAGATTTGATATCAGATCCCTTGTTATAAAAAAAACCTGCTCCACAGACCATCAGCTTTAATTTATGTGTGTTTCCTTGTTTGTACTTTTTCTCATGCAATTACATTTGCAGAGTCTAGTGGAATTGTCACATGTGGAGTATGTTGAAGGTGGTCTATATTTTCACATTTTTAATAAGGCAACCACTCTTTAAGAAAGCTTCGTGTTGTCAATTAGTTGGCAGATGTTCATTTTTTTAACATTCTAGTTTTTTTTACATTCTAGACATAATAGTCAAATAAAAAACCTTTATGCGTTCAACGAGATTGCATATTGTTTCTTTTTACAATTGTTTGGTACTTGAAGCACACAAATGGTTTCTTTTCGTCTCATTTCTAATTTATGTGCAGTGTTTGTCATGAAAGCATTTTCTAGATGCTACACCCTAGAAGGCAGCCAGAATGTGCCACGCCCTTGTGATAATTTTCCAGATTGCTAGGTTCTAATTATCTATGTTTGATTGGTTTTATCTAAATGGCTTCCCTTGTTGTCAAATTTGTTGCTTCTGTGACTACTTGCCTCTCTAGCTTCATCATTTCATGCACATTTACTCCGACAGTCAACAAATTGAACCATTGTGGCATTTCTGATCTGAGAACTTATATTTCTTTCTTGCTATTGACAATAGTGACATGCTTCTTTTTTAGTTTCTGAAATTTCACATCTTTGAATATGCTTTGTGATTGTTATTTTTTGAGTTTTAATTGAGATTTAATGTCCCTTGAATTTATTACATTGTTTTTAGTAATGGTTGATACATGTATTTTTTAATTATCTTTTTAAACTTTACAGGGATTATACAAATCCATATCTTCCTGTTAATCCTACTGCTATTGAGGGGTTTGTTCAGGTATGATTTTACATTTTGGATGTTCACTGTATTACGGATTGTTTAAGCTTACACTAACAAGCTGTAACATGCAGCCTGCGGTAGGTCCTGATGGAAAGAAAAAAGAACTCGAGAGTAATGTGCTTCTTGCATCAATTGAAAATATGCAGTACGCTGTCACAGTGGATGTCCTTCACACGGTAATGAATTGTACTTGAGACTTCATTATGTGTAAGTATATTTTATTTGTTGTATTGTATTGTACAATTTGGTTCCTGTATTTCAGGTGTTTTCTGCATTTGGCACTGTTCAGAAAATTGCCATATTTGAGAAGAATGGGGGGACCCAAGCGCTTATTCAATATCCTGGTAGGTCCTTTTCAAGACTCCACTGATCTAGACATCGTAAAGTTAATGTAAGAATTTTGTTGTTCATGGGAAGTTGTAGTCCCCTTGTTTAAATTCTTGATTGAAGTGTCTTGCATACTAGGGACTAAGATGTGTTCTAAACTCCGTTAGTTTCTCAACCATTTATTGTCTTGGTTGACAAGACAACTTCTGAACTTTAGACCGTAACAATCTTTGTGGGGTCATTAGATATTCTATGAATGTTAACTCTCGGATATGCGATAGAAAATTTGTATAATATTGGACTGAATATGATTCTTCAATTACACGAGAAGTCAGGAGATTTATGTTTGCATCTCTGTTATTAGAATCTTATGATTTGTGATATCAAAAATTGATACGAATCTATGATGAATCTCACTATTCACAATTGATTCATGATTCGATTCACTTTTTACGATTTATGCAATATCGTTATCATTGTCAAAGAGCAACTATCTCTCTTTGTGCTTTTGGCCTTTCTTTTACCCTTTATTTTTTTTTGGAGCCTGGTCACTGACTTATAAATTGTTACATGTGCAGATGTCACAACTGCAGCAGTTGCGAAAGATGCTTTAGAGGGACACTGCATATATGATGGTGGCTATTGTAAGCTTCATCTATCATACTCTCGTCATACTGATCTCAATGTGAAGGTATAAATATGTGCTTTTGAGTTGATGTTCATGAAGAAAAATTAAGAGGGAAAAAATATAGACTTGGTTACAAGAAAAAGTGGGTCGGTTGTTGATCGAAAAAAGATTTGTCCTTGAATGTATGCTTCTTGACACTTAAATTCACCCTTTAATTTTATTATCCATGGAAATATTTTCCCTTGCATTGGATTAGTTTTTTTTTTGTTTTGTTCTAGGCATACAGTGACAAGAGTAGAGATTACACGATTCCCGAATCAGGTTTGCTTGCAATGCAACAGGCTCCGGGTGTCCCTGCAGCAGCAACAGTTTGGCAGAATCCTCAGGCCTCTCCAATGTTTCCTGGGAGTGAGTTTGCTGGTGGTGGTGCTATGCCGGCTCAATCTTCTGTGGGACGAGTGCCCTCATGGGATCCAAACATGCAGGCTGGCAGACCAACCTTTGTCTCGGTTCCTAGAACATTTCCTGGCCAAACATATGCTCTGTCTTCTGTTCAGGCTTATGCTTCTGCATCAACTCCTGGTGGTTCATCACCCCTTGTGCAATCAGGCCAAATCAGTCCCACTATGTCTCCCCTGGGAGTATCTCAGCCTGTGCATCAGCCCAATATGCGACCTGGTGGTTCTTTGCCTCCAGGTCAGTCTCCTTACTATGGTTAGTAAGTTGTATCTGTTTCTCTCTTGAAGATACTGTGCTTTATAGCCTTTACCTCTTCCTCCTAGAATGTTTCTTGAAGCACAAAAAAATTTATTTTTGCCTTTGTTTAATTTGCAGTTACTAAAGTCTCGTGTCTCTCTCTTGCTTTGTTCTGTAACTGGATGATATCCTAGCTTGTATTCTTTATGTTTAGCTCTAAATGTGGCATTAGAAAATTTTGATCTTCTGACTTTCATTTGAGATGGCAATTAATGTGGTTTAGGGGTGGACATGGGCTGGCCTTGGTCAGGCCAGGTTTGCATTGTATATTAAGGAAACATAGGTCACCCAAGCATTATTGGGCCTAATCTGACCATCCAAAACCTGACCCTAAAAGAAACTTCAAGTGTCCAAACCCCACTTAACCCAAACTCATAAATGGAAGAGGAAGACCTAAATTGTCATGTTAGGGGTAAGAGTGATACGATCACCATAATTGGAGATGTTTCGTATGGGTAGGGGAAAACCTAAATTGATCTGGGTTGCAGTAATTAAAAAAAAAAACAAGTATGAATTTATTTCATTTAACCAAGCATACAGCTCTTGACAGAGTGAATGACAAAAAAATAATTCATGTAATCATCCTAGTTGATTGGGACACAAGATTGCTACAAAGGTTTTTTTTAGTTAGGTTATAAGCTTTCATCCTACAGGCTAACATCCTACTGCCATCTGCTGTATTCGGAGGGTATAAATGAGTTGTTAGCAGATGTTCTCATCTTCTTTCTCAGTTTTTGAATCTTGTATATCCTTCTAAAATAGAGGAAAGAAAATTAGAATGCCAATTAGGCTTAGGAGAAAAGGCAGCAGCTAGAAAGTAAGGGTTGGGGGAGGGTTTAACAGTTCTTGTGAGGAAAACTATAGCGGGAAAAGAAGAAAATTTCCTACTTTTTTGCTGGGAGGACATGGGTAAGGAGCCATACTTCACAATGATTTGTAAAAATTGCCGGCGTAGCTTTCCTCTATGTTCATAAATAATTTAGGAACGTGAGATTCCCATAGAGTATGAGAATGAGATTCTCACTTGGCTTGGTTGGGAGTAACTTGATGATGCACCTACACCATAGATTTATGAAGGTATGGAGTAAGATTCTCACTTTCCATTTCTCCAATCCAAGCATATGTATTCTCTTAATTCTAAACAAAACAAAACAAAATCCAGAAAATGTTGCAGTATATATTAAACAAAAAGACAATTTTGTTAAAAAAATTTGCCTTTCACCTCATTTTTTGGAGATATATATATATATTTTCTTCTACAAGTTCATGATCCAAACACGAGATGATCCGAACACAGTTTAAAGATGTCAAAAGAATGTAAACACATGAGCAACAAAATAGAATAAAGCAGCAAATCAAAAGTTCAAAGAGGTATCCTATTGGCATCCAATTGAATTAGAGTTTGATCTAGAATTTTTACCAATAGAATGTTTTTGCATAAATTAAGCATATATCCATATCTAAGTTAAATGGCATGCACATTGATATAAATATGTAACTGCATCTGTTGTCATAAAAGTCACTACTTTTTAGGAAAAATAAATGTTTGTCTTCCTGATATATTTTATTTATTTATTTTTCATAAAGCAAATGTCATTACATGTAAGGCTTACCCCATCCTATAAAATAATGGTTACAGGTAGGATTCATCATTTTTTTAAATATTCATTATTATTATTATTATTATTATTGTTATTGTTTTGAATATGCTGGATCTCTCTCTCTCTCTCTCTCGCACGCGCATGCGTGTGTGTGACATGAAAAGAAAAAGGGTGAAACAAACCTTCTTTATGTATGTGTTGGGGGTAGGGTTTACGTCGTTGTCCAAGTGACCATTAGAGAATGTGGTTGTGAACAATAGAACATGGTTTACATCATCCACATAGATCTGCTCATATTGGTCCCATTTGAACTGTGATAAATATATCATGTTCTTGTTAGCCATGTCCAATGCCACCAACACATACATTGACATCGTCACATTCTGCTAACGACTGATTGAAGACTACCCACGGAAGATTAAGAAAAATTTCTGATGGGGACTTGTCTGTTAGAAAGAACCAATTTTCAGTTTATAATCCACAAGACAAGTATCGTGGGAATCTCAAAGCTTTGCAATAAAGCAGAGTGAACACATCGTAGCATCTAACTACCGAGTCTGATTGGCTTGGTTAGCCTAACTAGGATTTGGTACCTCTTCTACAATTGTTTTGTTAAAGAGGAGAAGGGGAATAATACATATATAATATTACCCGTGTCACACACGTATATATATTTACTAGACTTGAGGCACACGAAATGTATGTGGATATTGATATAGTTTCCAAGATACAGACTATGGAAGATGGATTGTAATTGCCAGGAGTTATTTATGGGATATGGGGATTTTTTTTTTTTTTTTTCCTTTCTAAATTAAGATTTTATTGTTTGGACAAAACATGGCGGCTTCAAGATGTGGTAACACCAAATTGTGGTGTGCCTATACCCTCTGGCCATGTTTGTTTAGGCGGATTGGATTAGTATTTCCATGACTAATAGTCCTAGGATTACGAATTCGTTGGATTATGTAACCTATCTTAACTAATAGTCAAGTTTAAAATAATTAGTCCGTACTTTAATTGTTTAACCAAACATCGGATTAATAATTTTATTGGACTATTAGTCCAATCCCAAGCTCATGTCCACCCAAACAAACATGGCCTCTGAGTCTAATGGTGGGGTTGAACACTGACTTGAAATAATCTATCCGCAGGGCTAAGCAAGGAAGGTAGGTTTTAGGTGGTTGCTTTAAACTTGGAAAGCCTCTTTTCAAGTTTAGGTCGTGTTAAATAAAAAATAAAAATAATAAATTCAAACATAGAATGAACCAAACAGAAGAGGGCAAGAAAAAAAGAGAAAGTAAAGGCGTTTTACGATCTGCAATATGGGGGATGTTGATTCGCATAAAGGGGGGCTTCCTCTGTAGTGTGGTGTGGTGTGTAGCGAAGAGCTTGGAGTGAAGACTAAAAATGGTGGTTGGCCCCATGTGTTCTGCAACACGCATGGTGCTTTGTGGATTATTTCTTAGGGGTCTTTCTGTGGACTGTAGCCATGTGATCACCATGTGTGTGGGTGGAGAGAGAGAGATAGAGAGAGAGGGGGTGTTTATTTTTTTTTGGGGTAAATTACACTAACAGTGTCTATAGTTTGAGGCTTCTGTCATTTTAGCCATTGACTTTTCAATTGTGACATGAATTTTGAATCTTGTTCCAAAGGACAATTCAATATAGCATTGCTTAATTTCAGGGGCAAAATTGTTAATTTGATAAAATATAAATTAATTTGACGAAAATAAATATCAAAAAAATATTTTAAAATTTTTAAAAATTACTTCTACCAACCAAAAATAAAATTAATAAAAATTACATGATTAATTTTTAAAAATTAATTTTACATGATCATCATTCATATATATAATAAAAAATAAGTTGGTAAAAAAAAATTAATGTCTGAAAGATTTATTAATTTTATATAATTTTATCTTTAGTAGGTAGAAATAATTTTTAATAATTTAAAAATAATTTTTTGATATTTATTTTTATTAAATTAATTTATATTTTATCAAATTAACGATTTTGCCTTTGAAAAAATTAATAGTATGTTCAATTGTCCTTATTTGGAATAAGATTTAAAATTTAGGATCAAATGTGTTACAAATGAAAAGTCAGGGATCAAAATGATATAAGCTCCAAACTAGATGAACCGTTAGTGTAATTCACCTTCTTTTTTTTTTTTTTTTTTAACTCGCCAAAAGCAATACTCATCAAAGCTCCTATGGAGGTCAAAAGCATATGCTATGCTGGACCTAGACCGTGAACTTATCTCAGCCAAGTAAATAGTCTTTGGTTGGAACAATAATGGAGTAATTTTTGAAAACCAAAGCTGTACAAAAATGGAAGATGGTTTTGTTCACACATTACCAAAGTCTCAACTCATGACTGGCCTAAAATAGTGGATTTCTCATTAAAAAATTGTATCGACATCACGTAAAAGGTTCATTATTCACTTGAATTGGATTCACTAAAATCAATTTGAGATTTGTCTATAAGCCTTTTTGTTGGGAAGTTTTTCAAGTTCTTTTCAAATTTCAGATTCAATACATTTTCAACTTTCATTTTGAATTGTGTTTTGGGTAAGTCATTTAATTGATCCACCATTGATTGTGTTTAAGTTTAAACTACTTAAAACTATTATTACAAGATTATTGTAGAAAATTTTAATCCGGTTTAAAATTCACTAATTAGTTTTTTTAATTTTTAAAGCTAATAGTAGGGGTAGGGGAATAGATGAAAAAGTTGCATAGTCTACTGGTAAGATTCAAATCCGATTACCAGGCCTAATAAGTGTGAGCCTTATTTGCAGTTCCAATCTCTTGGTCTTTTGGTAGTGTTAATCGTTAGTAATTCTCAACATAGTTTGTGTGAGATGAAAAAAAGAGAGTAAAAAATAAAAATAAAATCAAAGAAAATACTCAAATTATTTATGTAGGGGTGAAATTGACAGGCATATGTTTTTGTTTTTGATATTTTTATGTGGTCTAAAATCGGGTAGGTAGGGGTGCTATTTTAACTCACCATAAAATCTAGCTTAATGGGTATGTTCTACAATTTCACGCGGGGTTCACTTGGGACTTGTATGAACTACCATAGACTATTCATCCATAAAAATGTCAAAACAGTTTGCTAATTGTTCTCCACAAAAGGCTTTAATTTTATTTATTTTTATTATTATTGAATTGGGTTGCTTTTCCATCGTATGGTCTATTTAGTCACCATCTTGTTACTGGGACATATAGACACAGTGTCTTTATAACACGTATACGTCAGGAGTGGTTTAAAGCTGGATTCATTTAAACTCCTATTTTATTCAACGTCCTTTGCATCATCAGTCTGTATCGCTTGATGTGGTTTTTAATAAGTTGGGAAGATTTTCTTTCATTCTTATCCTATTTTCACTTTAAAAAACATGTCCACAACTTCGAATCCGATTTTAGAACATCATATTGTTTCAATTATATAATTCATTTGGGATGTTTGGTGGTTTGTTTTGTTTTGTTTTTATGTTTTCAGAAACTAGAAGTAATGAAATTTTCAAAACTATCTTATGTTTCCATATTGTTTCTTTTTTCTTATAAATTTATTTTAAAGA